CAGAATGATTTTAATGTCACGTAGTCAACCTCTTTTATTGTCTGTTAAATGTCACCATAGACTGACTGACACCACGTGGTGAGGCTCCAGAATGATTTTAATGTCACGTAGTCAACCTCTTTTATTGTCTGTTAAATGTCACCATAGACTGACTGACACCACGTGGTGAGGCTCCAGAATGATTTTAATGTCACGTAGTCAACCTCTTTTATTGTCTGTTAAATGTCACCATAGACTGACTGACACCACGTGGTGAGGCTCCAGAATGATTTTAATGTAACGTAGTCAACCTCTTTTATTGTCTGTTAAATGTCACCATAGACTGACTGACACCACGTGGTGAGGCTCCAGAATGATTTTAATGTAACGTAGTCAACCTCTTTTATTGTCTGTTAAATGTCACCATAGACTGACTGTCATCCACGTGGTGAGGCTCCAGAATGATTTTAATGTAACGTAGTCAACCTCTTTTATTGTCTGTTAAATGTCACCATTTATACATATTTTTATATTTTGCTGTAATCACTCTTCGTCATTTTAATAGCTATACGGTTAAAAATATTCTATTTCATTGCTTTTAGAAAATCAATGGAGATTTAATGTATTACTTCTAAAATCTCAGAAGTTTTCAGTAACGGTACTAAGTAACACTGGCGTTTGGACAATACATCGGCTAAAGAAAAAATATTTATTAAATTCGTGTACACATTGTAGAAAATATATTTTAACTTTTGCAACAGAAAAGTACATGTGATTAGTAAAGGATTTATAACGAGTTTTTACGTAAGGACAATCCATACGAAGTCTCATGACATTTTACTTGTGACATAACTTTGTTGATACAGCTTTCTGCGCTTAGGGTGTTTTTTTTTCATCAACTTGACACAAAGTTTTCCTAACCTTTTATCCATATATGTTGTTGTCACTGATGGTTTTTTTTTCCTGTATTAAGAAATATTGGCTTAAATTCCGACTGCACAGAAGAACATTATAAAGATTTTCCAAGGGACTAGATAGGAACATGTAACTTTTCGTGGTATTACCACTGTTGATTCGATCGATTGTGTGGTTGGTGAAGCTACGATTAATGTTCCGTTATTTCGCTATTTTGTCAATATATGTTATTTTGGATGGTCTATTTAAATTATTTTATAAAATGTTCAGACACATTATTTCAATTATTAGAAACACTAATTTTAGTTTTACAGTTTTTTTATTGTATAAAGAAACTAGAGCTAAAGTATTAAATGTTTCTTATGAATAAAAGTCACTTTCTGTGTATCGGTTCTGTCTGTGTGTATGAAACGCCAATCATGCCCAAACTATCGGGACAATTACCACCAAAATTGACATATATACCTCCTGGTGAACGTGGGCTATTTGGTTTTGGGCCCCTAAGTACGAATCTGGTCATGCGCAGAACTATCTCCTTAATCCTTTGACCTAGGAAACTCAGACGTTGTTGGATAAAACCTAGGGTGAAGATGTACTACAGTGTGATCCCCCCAAAGACATAACTGCGCATGCGCACAACTAACTTTTTTTTAACGCTTTCACTGGTCGACCCGAAAATTGATAGGCAGATGGCTTTAGACCCAGCTCGGTCATAATCATATTAGAACCGAACTCCTAAAAGCGCGAATCTGCGCATGCACAGAACTACGTTTTTAATCCTTTGACTGATGAAACTGTTTTTTTTTCACTTCAAAACGATATGTATATGTACATCCGCCTTTACACTCTAGACTTTTTCCTTTTGTTCTCCATACAGATCACTCCCAAAATGCCAAAACATAAGAAGCCCAGCCTCTCCAAGCCCAAGACATCCACAAAGAGAGTGGCACTTAGGTGAGCAACCCAAACACTGGAGCGGCGGGAGTCTCAACAACAAAGAAACAAGGAATCCACCGCAGCTGCAAGGGCTGTGGAGACACCTGAGGAGCGGGAATCTCAACAACTCAGAAACGAATGTCCACTGCAACAGCAAGGGCTGAGGAAACACCTGAATACCACCGATCTCGACAACTCAGAAGCTGAAGGTCAACTGCAGCAACCACATCCAATGAAGCACCACAAGAAAAGAAGGGAGCACCAGAATCAAGACCAAAATGCTGTTACTGCATGAACAAGAAGAAATAATCCTGACTGGAACAGAGCTGCTTTAAGTTATCAACCTGAGTTAGATTACCAGTTCAAGGTGTCAATAGGCTCTATCTCAGTTACTTGCCCAAAATATGGTGCTAAAACGTAGAAAGGAGAATCAAAGGGAATGTGCTTTAGTGATAGAAAAGTCAAGCTTAGCCTTGTGGAGACACCTTCTCAGCCATTGAAATCCTTGGTGTTTGGTTAAACTTCTGAGTCAAAGCACTTTCTGGCCAATATGAGGAAGTACAATTCTTGCTTTCAAATAACTTCTTTTGCTGCATCACAGGAGATAGTGGAGTCAGGGTTTATGCCCACCATGAAAGTTCAAGGTCAAGTCTATAATTTATTCGGATCCATTCAGGTCAGCAAGGCAACCAGCGATGCAGTAATATGTTCCTAGTGTCCAACTAGATATTGTCCTCTCTCTTCATGGTACTAATCAATGAATTGTGTTGGTGGAACACAACCAACTTGAATTAATAAGTATTGTGTGTTGTCACAGAGACCAAGTGCATTATTAGCAGACATTATTGGCAACGAAAAAAGAAATAAGTAGAAAAACATATATATAGGATCATGAAGGGATAGAAGTCCATGAAGGAGACGGTTTTGTTAGGGTGAGCTTGACCTGTCGCTTTGATAATATTAGGAATCCCGAAGTGGTACCCATCTTGACCTTACCACAGGGTCAAGGGATATTGTAGGGCATCATGGGCTCTATTTATCTCAGGAATTCGTTGATGGTGTTGTCTTGGTATCGAAGAACAAAGTGTCTCTTACCATGCTCTTCACCCACCATAAGAACAGCGACTTCATCACAGGTTGGGGCACTGAATCTCGGTGCATGCTCCCCCCTTCCTGGAGACCTTGTCTGCACTGATTACAACCTGGTAATTATTGGAGATGACTTGTTGAGCTGAATGTTTGAAACTTAGTTCCGAAACATTTTTCAGTTCCGAAACATTTTTCAGATTGTCAGATTTTTCAGATATTCAGATTGAATATCACTCAACAGACATCAAAGCAGCGGTAGCGTTTGATGAGCCTCGGTAAAAATTCACATGTATAGTTGGTTTCATTTACAGCAGGAAAAATGTTGTTTTTCACGAATGTCTCTGCTAGGCAACAGTATATAAGATAAATGATTATTATCAGTGTGTTATTGTAATGTAATATCACACACACTCATTAATAGCAAATGTCGCATGTGATTCAATAATTAAATGTAATTAATTATGACATGTAATATATCATAAAGTGCCCTGTTGATTGAATACTCTATATATATATATGTGTATATTAGATCTTTCAAAGCCTGATGCCAAGTAATTCTGTCATGAGTCAGCGAGCGGAAAATGTAGAAGGGTATAAAGTGCAAAAGTTACTTAATTAGGGAGAATCAGTTATGCAAAATAACCTTTCATGTAAAATAACCTTTCATGTAAAATAACCTTTCATGTAAAATAACCTTTCATGTAAAATAACCATGTATGTAAAATAACCTTTCATGTAACTTTTTTACATTTATTATTAAATGGTATTAATTTTATGAATGTTTAATATGAAACGTACGATGAAATCAAACGATTTGTTATGTTGCAAGCCTAAGATGAGCAACAAGCGTCCCATAATAGTGGAAAGCATAGATGGACTTTGTATTTCATATTGTTTTGTTGTTTTTTTTAGAGAGGGAATGCACTTAATTGCTTCCCCAATCCTCGCCAGTGGTAGTTTGTTTCTTTGGTTGGTTGGTTGTTAGTTAGTTTGTTTGTTTGTTTTTATAGTAAACCTACATTGAACTATCTGTTGTGTCCACCGCGAGGAGTCGAATCTCGAATTCTAGAGTTATAATTCTGTAGACTTACTACTGTGACCCGCCTAAAGCTCTACACAACAAATAAAAGGTAATTTCATAAAGAATGTACCTAATGTCCAATAATATCCGCTGGAGTAATACATACAATCTCCTTGACCCTTGCCAAATAGCTGCCATTTTTCTA